CCCATGCAAAAATCTTTAAACCAATCAACAGCAGGGCCGAGCGATCCAAATCTACCTTGGGGTCCAATAATGGAAAGGGCTGCAGTGAAGAAAAACAGTGCAAACAAGCAGGAAAATCCTATAACGGAGAAAATGAACACGCCAAACTGGACGTAAAACTGGATGGTGGCGAACATCATGAAAACCGACGCTCCCAGCGTTGTGCAGGCTCCAGAGAGGACAGAAATGCCCACGTGGTGTAACATGTCCTTGATGCGGCCGCTGCGCGTCTCGTGAGGAGAGATGTGGTAACCCTCTGCCAGGTGGACGACGTAATCCACAGCCAGGCCTACCACCAAGCATAAGTTTAACGAACTCAGAACCTAAAACATAAATAATTTTAATTCATCACAGTATGTATGTTTTGTGGATTTCATTTACGGAAATATTTCAGAAGACCAAATGCGCAATAAACGACTTAAGAATACAAATGTCACAAAATATGTAGTTTACACACGTATTCACCCAATCAGATTCGATAAAATTCAACAATGGAGTAAATTTAGGTGTTGGACCCACCCCCAATTTCCATCCCAGCAGGGGAATCATCCCCACCACACAGACGGTCACCATGCACATTGTCAATGTAGCCAGGAAGCCGACGATGATATTTCCTGTGGCAATCACGAGTAAGGGAAACGCTATGCCTATCCCTATGGCTATCCCGGTGATGGCTGTGTTTGCCAGATTCTAGAAACAAAAGACGAATTTTTTTGCTCTTTTTAAATCCTTTTTGAAAGACCGACAAAATCAAACAAGGTTATTGCTATTAAATAAAAGTTCAATCTTAAGTTGAGCTGCTTGTCAGATGTCAATTACTGCAGAGTCCGTCTGACAAATTTATTTTGTATTGTGTAACCATTGTGAAACATGAATTTATAGCAGGCTACACCACATGGAAATAAATAATATTTTTCACCTCTTGTACTTTGAGGAAATGCCAAGTATTTCTTGTGCACTGAAATCCACCCTGCAGCGGAGTCGGCATCCTGGAAACCTGGGGGAAAACAGTAGTCCTATATTAGTACATGTACACATATTTTCTGTTCAATTCGAAAACTCTGAGAGAGTTAATGAAGATATATAAAACGAGCATATGCTAACTCAGTTAATGACAAAGGATAAATCTTCGTGCCAAAGTAAATCGGTTGGTTAGTATAATATATCTTAAATTACCTCATCGTTCACAAAATTTTCCCAGGCGTCCATGACGGGCAGTCCAGTCACGTAGCCAGTAACTCGAGGGTTCAGGGTTAGGTTCACTGTTATCGCAGCGTACCTCAGTCTCGTGCCATACTTGACACCTTCGGTATAAAAATGACAACACTTAAAATTCGTTATTTTAACTTATTGTAACCATTAGCGAGATTTTTTGCATCAAAATAAATGAAGTTCTGTGGTTGATAACTATGATACAGCCCAGGAAAATGCCATGGTTTAGAATGAAAAAAAGAAAAACTGCAGTAGAAATTAGGCATTATTGGAAAGCATGGAATTTTTCTCGTAACTAATACGTCTTCTAAGCTTTTAAACGTATTTCAAAATATCTTATTTCTCACATCTCCATCTGTTGAATACATTCATGTCTTACCTGGAATAGTTTTGATGTTTTGAGTAAAACCATCATCATTCCATTCACCTAACAGAGTGTCGTATGCATCGAAATCTGCCGTCTTTGTAAGGCGGTAACCAGCACTCAGCCAGTAAGATAACCCAATCTGTATAAAATGAATTAAAAGACGAGCATACTATTAATATCTCGTGTCAAATTAGACTAAGACAGTGTGCTTCTCGGATATTAACAATAATACAAAATATATCTGCATATACTCAAAACACAGGACTGAAAATCTACATCTGCAATTTTTTCGTTATCTATCCACAACCACTTTTTTATTATTTTCACCCGCTTGCAAAGTTGAAACGGTTTAAATTTTTGGAACACCCAGCCCAAGTTCATCTCGAGAGTTTATTAACTGAGGGATATCACTGGTTTCCCAACGACCCACACGTTTAACAACATTCAGTCCGTCTACTTTCTGTAAATTGCCTTAAAACCGACGCTGGTTGAACCCTCATATTACATGCCTGCCAACGTTTACCTCAAAGTATCTATGGAACGTCTCTGGGACCGAGTTGTACAAATATGAATGTACTCCCATGAAACGCGCCATCTTCCGTTCAGTGAGAGGTAATGAAAGCTGCAGGTCGTTTGGATAAATCGCTGTCCCATTCATGGTCTTATTTTCCTCATTCTACAAAATGTATAAAAATTCTATTTAACATGCAAGGAAGAAAATTCAAAATAAAAAAGGTTGCATCGACATGACCTGGAAACAAAACGATCCAGACCTAATAAAACCTGTCGCATAAATTGCTCATTTGCATAAAAAGTAAGAAAAAAGCAGCTTAAAAGGTTAAAATAAACAATGACCAAATAATTGTTAAATACGCATTCTTAAACAAAACCGGTTCACTCTTTTTTTAGACATGCATAACCATGTACCGTCAAACAAATGGACTTTACCTCAAGGAAGACCTGTAAGTTGTCCATGAAGCAGTTAACTTGTGCTTGTAATGTAAGTAAATCTCGCCGAATCTTCAACCTATCAATTTCTGCATCAGTAAGGTTTCTTAAACGGTTGCAAAAGTTCTAAAATGAAAGTGGGACCTTCTCTTGCAAAACAACGAACAGCAACACATGTCATAAAAATGAAATCTTAAACATCGCTCTTAGAAAATAACAGAGTAACAGGGTTGCCCCCACTCTTTAAAAGAGAGAGAGAGAACATAATATTAAACTGGTGTAGATCTATCGACATGGCATATTTAACTTGTAGCGTCGACGTCACAGAAAGCAAGACTTAGAGAACCAAGCAAAATCTCCTCGTCATTATTTTTTTTCTGAATGCCCCCCTTACACAGTCACTTAAGTTTTGCTTCCTACGTGCCTGAATTAAAATACCTTAAGAGCCAGCTGAGCCGATGGTGTGTTCAAATCGAAGGAATTGTCCCAGACCGCCTTCCCTGTACAGTCTATATCGGATCCGTGGCATTCACTGAGGTCCCGCTGCTTCAATCCCCATACTATATACACCGTGGCAAACCTGTCACTGTCCGCTGGGACAAACGCCTTGGCTTCTCTATCCAGTGCATTTGCAATGTTTGTGCCTGGTCTATACAGTGACAACTGAAATGAATAAGAAATCGTTAGACATTCTTTAAGTCTTGATTAAGCATACTTGGCGAAAATTCATCAAGATTATAAACATGTGATATATACACAAACGATAAAATGATGTTAAGATATTTAAAATATTTACTGCTAAAACCAACCTGTTCTTCTTCAGCCTCAAGGGTGGTCACAAAATAAAGTCCAACTGCAAAAATCCCTAGAAACAACACCACGATAATCCAACGAGCTACCTTGTGAGTTGCAAATCGATAAAAAGGCCCACTAAAGAACCTCACAACGATGTTTTCTTTAACTTTCTTCTTTCCCGTCTTCGTCGAGCTATAAACATCTTTTTCGCGATGATTATTGTGAACGCTATAGTCAAACCCTGTATTTGTGTCCGGTCGTTCCTTTTTAGCTGCGCAGCAACAACAGCAGTACTTTTTGAAATAAATGTGATAAATGACAACAACTGCTGGAAGGAAAGTTATGACCGTTAGATAGTTAACACCTATCATAATTCCTGCAAATACCCCGAAGCTTCTGATAGGTAAAAGCGGTGAAACGGAGCTGGCAAGGAACGCTGCCATTGTCGTAAGAGAGGTTACTAGCATTGTGCCCGCTGCTCTACGGTAACAGTCTGAGAGTCGGTGCGCTAAACTGATGTACTTATTCTGCGCAGTCTCCCGCCATGTGTCGTAGAATACAAAGACATCGTCAGCTCCAATTCCTAGAATTATGTATATTGCCAAAATATGGAAAAATCCAAAGTATCTGAAGTCTGCGACAATACGATAAATCAGATTTGCCCCACAAAACCCTGTCACGATCGTCAAAACCGCCCAACCCGTGATCCATAGCGATCTGGTTTGAAACCAAATGAAACAGAAAATGAAAGCGAAACTGCCAACAGCCAGGACCATGTCCCAAACCACTTGACTCAAAATGTCATTTCTGAAAATAAGAAAGCTGTAGTAGAATAACGACAGGCCTTTTGGTCGTGATTTCTGTGAGTCTTTTAATTTTGGCACGATGTCGTTCACGAGAAAGGTTTCGATTTCCTTGCGTTGTTCGTCTCTCTCGCCTCCGGTTTCCAGTGGATAACCCATCGGTAAAGAACTTCGAGTTATCTTAGAACGGACAGTGTTCGGGTTAACCTCGTAGTCGATGCCTAGAAAATACTGAAACTCAACTCTGGTTAACGTATTGTTTTGAGCTTCAAACAAAACAGTAGGAATGTTGCCAAAAGTAGGATCATTAAACTTGCTACTGATGTGTGCCAAACTGCCGTCAAAGTAGCGAAGGATAGACCTTGGTTTTATGCATGTTCTGTTAAAATCCAGTTGGCAAAATGAGTTCTGATATGCAGGTATATTGTAAATGTCATCCTCCAACATCTTCATCTCTTGAAGTATATCTTTTGTGAATACATTTCCGTCGGGAATTTCATAGTACAAAATTACACTGTCAACAGTGGCGCTTCTATTCCAAAATGTTCGCACAGTATCCGTAGTTACTCTGCGGATCCGCCCAGTCTCGTTGTTTCTGAGGCGCCACGCCAAATCTCGCAAACGTGTGGGGTCTTCATTGAGGTTCATTGGGAAGGAAAGGAACTCAACGGGGAATATGTCATATCTAGCAGCCATTAATATCCCCGTCACCACCACAAAGGCAATGTGGAACCCGAATGTTATACCTACGATAAAAATGAGAATATGAGAATGCAGAAAAAACGAAGAAATAGATAAGAAAGGAAACGAGGTGTCTTTAATACTTGAACGAGACAAATGTTACAGTAAACATATTGATTATCGCCAATGTGATTTTATATTTATAACCATGAATGCCAACAAGAATATACACATTCTGGATGATACTGAGAGCGTTTGATGTTAAGTGCGTAAAATTCTTCAAACTTACAGAAAGCAGATTTGGGGTAGTTGGCCACAAATTTGCAGTATAACACTGGATCTCTGTCCCGCTGACGTTGCCTTCTTTCTTCCGCGTGTTCTTCATCGTGTTCTTTAAGTGCATTAGCCTTCTTTTCCTTTTTTCTTTTTTCATTTTCCCCTCCAGTAGGTAATAAAGTCCTATGCAACCTTCGTCTCCCAAGGCCACTTGCCGTATCACTGCTGTGAGTGAATTGAGCTTGAGAGGGGATAGCTGTCGCATGACCGTTGATTGACCAGTCACTTGAACCGATGTGACCATTTTGATACGGTTGGTAGTTTTCGTAAACCCTTTCGGGTGCGACGCGGTCATTCTGGTTGTGATATGGAAAAGAACGGTCTTTCCGATGATCATTTGATGGAGGTGATGATTCATAATGCCATGCATTATGACTCCTGGGGTGGTAAGGTTCGGGAGGGGGTTTGGTCGTGCCTCCCTTATACCATCGACCCCCGACATAGTACATCAACCCGCTATCACGGTCTGAATCCATGGTAAGGTTCACTGTAAAAAAAATGGCAAAGGCACTTTAGTCATACATGTAGATCAATCGAAAACTGGTGCTCACCTTTTTCTAAGTAAAAAATGGCGAATTAATAGCACCTTTAAGAGAGAAAGGAATCGTTACTCAGTAGTTTAAATTTTCCAAAGTTACACCATTCATTAAAATTCTGGGGGTTGAGATTACATCCTGAATCCACCAGTGTCAGCTGTCATCTTCATCTCCCCGAATGGATCGGTCCAATTAATTATACCGCTTTATATGAAAAGGGTCGAATTAGGTTCATTTAAGGAAGACCTGGTATCGAGATTTGTTTTTATTGAAAAGGTAAACTTTCTGTTAAGGAATGATTTCAATTGTTTTTTAAAAAACCTACGAAAACTGAGATCTAAATAATAACATGAAAAAACATTGGTCACAGGTGTTTTCTCGTGCTAAATTAATCGACTTTGGTACTCGTTACTTCCTCAATTGAGTTATCTCATAGAAATGGGTAAAACAGTTAAAGAGTACCAAGTCTATTTTTCGGACCTTCAGTTGAGGGTTCTCTTCAATTTCCTTCACAGAACTACTCATATTTGAAGTTTGGTTATATATGTTATGTATTAAAATCAAAATAAGCTAAAAAAAAAAAAAAAAAAAAACGCAGTTATTGCCGCTTGGCCAAAACGACATAAAAGTTTAAGCCCGATGTAGGAAACTGCGGGTCCGTGTAGCAGAGACCTTTTGGTTACAAACCGCTATTAAAAATCCCATTCACTTCCATTGTAACGTTTAATTCTCTTAAAAATATTTACCATGCATCAACAAACACAACACTTCAGGTTTAAATACTTCTACTCAAGGCCTAAACAATATTAAAAAATCAGGGTACATTAATGGCATGGCTTGCCAGTGACATGACATGACCCGTAAGGTGCTGCCGCCAGTCAGCCAAAATAAGCACTAAAATGCAGCAGAGGGGAGGGCAAGTAAAACTGGCCCCAGGCAGTAAAATTTCACTCTGATATGAAAAATAACACATCAAATTAAAGGTAAATGAACAAATTTATTTCTAAATTTTATTTCAAAATTTTCAAATGATCCAAAATTGAAAAATAAACTCATTTTTCTCTTATATGCAAATCTTCTTGATTCAAACTTGCTAAACAAGGAAGGCAGGAAGTGCCGTATAACCTTTTCCCATTACATTTATACAGGTTAGGTTGAGTGTGACGTTAGATGGACAAAGTCTAGGGTGGGACTTTCTTGTACAAATCAATTGGAACCGGACCTTGTATAACAAAGGACTCTCTCGTATATTACGCAGGGGGGCAACGTGTTAACATCACAAAGATCAATCGATAAAATGTCCTTTTAAATATATTACAGACACAATGTATAAGGCAGTATGATATAATCGGACACTTATTTCTACACTGCTTTATGCGCAGGTTCTCAACCTCAACTGCATTGTCACTGGTCAAGTCTATTTTATCTTTGTCAAGTTCACGATATGTCATGATATGCCAGAGAACGTGCACACCGAGAAAAAAGTAGGCCTATATATGCCTTTTACTAGTAGCTTATGTACTCACCACTATTTCGGATCAGGTAAAAAACTACCCTGGAAGAGTTAGTTCTGATTGAACATCACTCACTTGTTTTAATGCTTGCCTGGGAATTGACTCTTATATATCGACCTAGGCTTTTCTATATTATCGTGATCTACCCATGCGCGTTCAGCACCAGCAGCCTTGCTTACTGGGTTGCAAAGAACATGAATAATAACCAAGCATGAGTCTTTTGTCCACGGATTTCGATCTAAAATACCTTTGGAGAAAGGGTCCCGGGGTCGCCTTATTGTTATATAAACCAAATACCTTTTCACACGCTCTAAAATTTAGTTATTCATGGAATTCGCTTGCAGAAAAAACAATAATTGCAAAGCACAATAAATAAATATAAATGCAGTTAGTTGCTTTAGCCATCGTCATGAGAATAAATCGAATCTACCGTACGTTATTGTATATATATAACACTAATCCAGCCTTGAGGTTTGATACAATCATGTGACAATCTTCCGCATGCTCCAGGCAGTGCACGGTTATCTGGGATATGATGCATCTCAAAACTCTGTATCTACAAATTACTTTGTACTTTGCAAGCCATAGGAGCTATCAATTAAATACTTAAAGGAACCGTTCGTGTAAAATTATCGCCAAATAATACAATTGAGAGACTTTCGTGGGAATTTCTTTTATCTTTATAAAATCAGTCAAATAATGAGAAACGCCTGTCAACTGCTTAATCATTTTGAAGTAAAATTTATTAGATATTTAAGAGTATATATCACGAACGTTACTTTGCTCAAAACGTGTTTCTTAAATGCAAAACCAAAGGAAGAATTTTATCCTTTTACGCCCCCCCCCCCAAAGAAAAAGCCCTTTGACGAAAAACATTCAATTATATCTTAAGTCAAATTTTTGAAAAAGTTAATGGAGTCCTTGGTGATGTCATTGAAGGCAGGCTAAATGGTAAAAGAGGCAAAGGAATCCAGAGACTGACAATGCTCGACCGCTGGCGTAAGAAGAGATAAAACGACGGAACAGAAAGTTATGGTGAGATCAAACGAAGGGCTGGAGATCGAGGATTGAGGCCGTCTTCTGGGTTCTGGAAGACGGTCAGATTCTTAAGTTTACATTGACGGGTATGCCTATCTGATTTTTTTCTGTCGGAAGACTGTCAAAATGGATAATGGATCAACCAAGATTATTTGGAAGACTGTCAGAAAATATCACTGGATCCGCCCCTGGGAGACACGTGGGAGACGCTAAACCTGATTCGCGGCAGAGAACCTAGAAGAAGAAGACATCTCAATTCATTGGAATATAATTTGGGAATATATTGACTTAANGACGACAGACACAGGTGATGGCATATATTACAGAAAATGCTAATAAAATATGTGTATATTCCAGAACATGCTCTGAGCAGGCTGAAGTGGTCCTATCCACTGCTACACAAAGAAGACCAGTACTTAAACCAGCTGGCCCAGGCAGTGGTACAGTTAAGGCTTGGGGAACCTGCAGAGGCAGAGGCCTGCCTCATGTCTATACCCAGTGTAAGTATCTAAATTCTAAATAAAAGTGATTCACTTAAATAAAATACAGTAAACAACCCATGTCCCTAGGCAGAGGGGTTTGAAAGAACCACACTTTTGACTGGAATAGGTCTACTCTGTATCAACAGTTAAAAAAAAAAAAAAAAAAAAAAAAAAAAAAAAAAAAAAAAAAACAGATCTTTTCAGCTGTCCTTATTTGCCTGCAAAATTTAACTTTGTAACATAGTATCTTACACTACAGTTTTGAAATGATTTAATTCCTTCCCCCTTCATGTTTCAGGAGGGCATGATTCAGGCCTGCCTGAGGTACCACAACATTCTGCATGTTGATTTAACTTCCTTGTCCCATGTGGCACAAGTAGGTGAACTGGGGTGGTGGTGGTGGGCGGGGGGGGGGGGGGGAGTTTTTATTGCAATGAGCATACCTTAAAAGAATGTTACTTAAAATGGGAACACAATTTTATCTGCTTTGAATGAGACCCTTTCTAATTAAAACATAAGATATATACTAAATGTGTATTTATATAAGACAGTGAGGTATTGTACTGGAATTGGTGGTTTTTCAGCTTTCCCGCCAGTCCACCCCCAAAATGTTCATTGACATCCTGGTGGCTCTGCATGATGAAGGGGTTTTTACAATGGATGTGGCTGTAAAGTTATTGCAGGTAAGTGGACACTTTGTTTTCTTTCTGTTCATTGAAATGTTTCTTGCCCACACAAAATAATCAAATGCATATATAACTAAAAAATAGAAGGTGCAAAATTCAAATGATATGTGAATGACACCTACTGCATTTATATCTACTAGTATATGCATACCACTATGGGATTCCCTACATTTAATTACTAGTACATAACATATCAGTTCTTTGAAAGATTGAACTATTCAGTGAGTTTTATGGTCTTGTTGGGTGGAGGGAGTTGGGAGACAGAAGTGACTTGAAGCAAGCGAGGGTAGGGAAAGTGTGTGTGTTTGTGTGTGTGTGTGTGCATGCCTGTCTGTGCATTTGTTTGGGTGTGTTTATCTTTGTGTATGCTAATATATGTTTTTGTGTTTGCTTGTGTGTGCCTCAGAATTGGTGAATTTTGTACAGTTGTGTAGGCCATATTAAAAAATTTGAGTACATTATATACATAAAATACTTCAGGGTGAACTGTCAACCACAGACCTGTGGACCAATACTCACATCAGAGACTACCTGGAGATGCTGCTGAGCAGTAAGTTCTAGAAGTCTGTTGTTTCTGGAAATAACTAATCAAAAAATAACTTTTAAATAATTTTCATTTATTTAGTTGAATTAGACCCATTTTTTTACAAAAGAACTTAAGGCTAAAAGTTGCTATAGTGTTAAATTTTAGACTTAGAATTGAAGTATATAGGTAGATTGATTCAGTATAATTCTGTAGCAATATAATGGAGTAAAAAATGTTGTTTAATGCACATACCATTTTCTCATTCAAAACAGACCAATATTTTCATTTAAGTTACTGCTGCTAAATACTGGTTTGGACTTGGAAACAATTTAAATTTAAGCTTTTGTTAATTTTTGGAAAATTTGACATTTTGCTGGTAAAATATAAAGGGAGAAAGGGAGTTATTTGGTGGATTGTTAACATTTTTTTTTCAGTTTGTTTTGCATCATTTTTCAGATCCATCAAGACAGTTCATATTCAAGGAAGGCTCAGTAAGTGTGATCTGTTCATTAGATTGCTATCAATAATTGGGTGTTTAGAAATAGCAAATGAAAGTAAGAAAAACAATAAAGATCCTCACAAGTCTTTTTATTTCTTTTTGAAAATTAGAATGGAGAAATTCATTACAAGACAAAAAAAAAAAAAAAAAAATTACTAGACTATATGACATTATTGAGTTAGATATCAAACAGTAAAAGAGAATAGGTACATAATTGTCATCAGAAAAAGACTACTGCTTCAAGTAATAAGATACTGTACATGCATGTTAACTTTGTTTTTTAAAATTATTATATCATGTCTTTGGCAAAAATAGACTATTAAAAAAAAAAAAAGAATTATGCCAGTCAAGTTCCGTAAAATAATATAGGTAGCTCTTGGAACATTTTGATGGTGGTGTTGACATTTGAAAATCTTTATTTTAGATTCTACTGGCTCAGATCTACTTGGATCGTCTGCGTCATTGGAGGCCAGTTCAGACTCGAACTCTGCCCACTCCTGGGCACTCTCACATTGTAAGCCAACCTCCTCTCCGAAAAGAAAATAATTTGCCTATTCCAGTCACAGTTAATAGTCTAGAGTGTTTTTATTGGATGGAATGTGAAGGTTTTGACAAGCACAAGTCTCTGCATGGATGGAAAGATTGATAAACAGAAATTAATTAAACCAATTTTTTTTAGTGATGAACACAGCTGTGATAGTGTGTCACAAACAATTGAGAAAACATTGTATTTAATAGAATTCCATTTTCATCAAACTATTTCTCCTATTTGCAGCCTAAAGGAAGGGGGCATTTTGGGAAGAGGCAAGCCTGGCTGGATGAAATGACACCTTTCAAGGGTATGTAAATAATTAACCCATAAATCCAGCAAAGAATTCCATCAGATGTATTCAGCAGTCAAAGTTACAATGATAGGTTCATCCAAGAACGGCTATAAATCAGAGGTACTATTACAATTTCTTACAGGACAGTATTGCAATTTCTTACAGGACAGTATTTTTATCATGGAGTGAGGCTATAAGTGCTAGAATGGTTGTACTTCTTTATTCCAAAGTGTTTTTCATTCTGAAGGACTGCTATTCCATTAAAGGTTACGTAGCCATTCTGAAATTTACGACCTTTTGCTGATTATTTAAAGGAAATAACCAGAAGTTATACCATCTCTTTCTCTCTCATTCTGTTGCCAGGTACTCAGTCCATCTTCCATCAGCCTTGCACCAAGTTACAGCTGAGTGCCGCCCAGAGTAAACTCAGGCACAGGATCGCCTCGGACCCAGTACAGATCAACAGATCAAGGCAGGCGGCAGACTTGGTAACGCCAGAGATGAAACAAAGGTCCAGCGAGAACTTAGACGTTCACACAGTGGTGAGAGAGAAGGCGGGGAATGTTGAAGGGGAATGCTCCTGCTGCTGTTGTAATGAGGATTTATTGAAGTTACAGGTTAGTTTGAGCATCGAGTCATTTTAAAAGACATTGATTGTTCATTGCAGTCTTTTCCCAGTGATATAAGGGCAGTTGTGTTTTTTCTTATTGATGTAACAGTTCACTGTATTATCTCATAGATTTAAAAA